AAAATGAGTGCGACAAGTGCTGCTTGTTTAAAATCTTTGCGGCGGTAGCAGATTTAGTAAGGATGCAATGCCATCATTTAAACTACAAAAGCCATGGTAGTTAGTTGTCAGATCTATAGAAACTATCCCTGAATATGTTTTCATGGCAATCCTCACAATACCTTTTTAGAATATGACGCGATCAAGGATTTCACCAGATAAAGTGAAAATGGTACTGAAATGGTACTGGCAACTAAAATACATATATTTCAAGGAACAGATAAGCTTTTAAAAGTCCGGATCCCAAGATGTTAAGAATGATGCTTAAGATCAGTACAACTGAGCCACATAGGCAAAAGAAGAAGCCATAAAACTTCAGGAAACGTACAATTCCTGTGGTTATCGTTAGTTGAGAAAATAATGGTTCATACACAAGTAATTCAAACACATAATTAATCTTTATAATACTGAATAGCTATATGCAATAGTTTTAAACGATGTCTCCTAACTCATGCTACCAAGCGCTAGAAAACAAACAACATGGAAGTGAAATGTGTCTCCGTCTCCACTCCGTCTCTGTGCAGAAGGAACTGCTGCTTTCCCATAGTTCTTTTCACTCTCTTAGCCTGTGGGGCATTGGCACTAGAAACGAAAGAAACAAATTGCGATCATCATACCGTACCCTAACAGGCGTTGTTTTTCTTCTTTACCTTCTCTCTTTGAAAAATAAATCCAAGTCTAATAGCCCGTGCAGCAGACGTTCCCATACAAAGAGCTTTTTTTTTTTTTCCGTATTGCGTTTTCTGGCCGCGCGCAAAATCGACGAAGCGAGAGCAAACATATCGACGAAGCAGGGAGTTGGGCTGAGGTGGAGATTTTTTGCGGAAAGAAAAACCTATGGGTGCCGAGCGCCCGGCCAGCTATGAGTGCAACGCGTGCAGCAACCACCGGGAGAACACAATCTTGTTGAGTAGGAAGAGAGTAAATAAGGGATTGAAAAGAATGAATAGTTAACCTTTGTCTCCCGTTGTATCCTTACAGGGAAAACCGCTACCTACATGTGCTTCGTAACACTGAAGTGCTGAAGTCGTACCTAGGCCTTTTAGCGCTACGCAAATTTTTTTCGATTTACAAACTGTTTACATATAATACTGACAAGGGTTGGAACTCTTTGCTCAAACATTTTGAACGTAATCCGAAAATTCGCCCGAGTCTCTAGCTAAATTTCGCCGCTTCCACTAAACCAAACAAACACAAAACGAAGTCGAAAGATTTTTCTACAACTTGACCATGTTGGCCGAATTTGTTTTTGAAATTTAGAGACTCGGGCGAATTTTTGGATTACGCTCGAAATGTTTGGGCAAAGAGTTGCCTTCCTTGTCAATGCACTGTATGTCAACAGTTAAGTAAACCGAAAAAAAAAAACTTTCTCACAGCACTAAAAGGCCTAGGTACTAGTTAAGCGCTACGGTTATACGAAGGACATGTAGGTAGCGATTTTCCCTCTAAGGGTGACAACAGGAGACAAGGTTCAACTATCCATTCTTTTCAATCCTTTATTTACTCTTATCTTACTCAAAAAGATTGTGTGCTCCCTGTGTAGCAACTTGCAGCAACGTGCAGCAGCGCTTCGCGCCGTCCTTAAGTCTAAGCATTTAGACGCGAAAGTTAAGAAAGGTTTGTTAAACATTATATTTGAAAACACACCTGGTTCTTCTGGCTAAGCGAATCATTGAAACTAGACCATTACAGACAAATATGCTTGAAATCCATTGACTCGATTGCACCCGCTCTTGATTTACTTCAATTGTTGATTTCCTTTTTTATTGTGTACCGTTCCTCCTTTTCCCGTCCCATTTCTCGTTGGTTATTTACGTTCCGATAGAATTATTGTTGATTAGTCTCGTGAAATTAGTATGTCATTGTTAAGTGCCCCTGTTTTATTAAAAGGAGCTATTCATCCAGGTCTCTGCTTCCCGGATGCTCTGATTCTAGCTTGTGTCGGTAGCAGGCTCAAAGCGGTGGAGACGGAGAGGCAGCGCTTAAGAAAGGAGGAACTAAGGCTACTGTCGCATCCACTCTTGTTGCTAAATAAGGAGAAAGAAGAATGCCACTTCTGAGTTGCTGTTTCTTGGTGTTATTTAGCTTCTTTGTCAGGCACTAGTGATAATCCGCTCGATGAGCCTGAAAATCAGTTAGACGCGAATGACGAAGGTAAACCATATCCCTGTAGTTTTGAATTGGAACTCTACATTAATACACTAGCAGTAATTGCCACTTCCTTCTTAGCAGCGAATCTGACGCCATGGAATTTTTCCTTCAATAGTCCACTAACAACCGTGTGTTACATCACAAATATCACTGGCCAAAAAAAACTTGGTGGTAGCCGTCTAGACTCATTGACCATTTAGCATTTTGATCATAACGAACTCGTGGATCAGTCTTGCGAAACGTTGCTTTGTTGTTTTGTCTCAACATGCATGTGCCATTGTCACGGGCTGCATTATTATTCAGTAGTTGGTCACGCAAGCCTTTGCTTTCTAGATGCCTCTGATACAAAATGGCTGCCATTGATCTTTCGGAGCCTCTCATCTCCTCTTGCGGCTAAATGTAGAGAACAAAGGCTGCCATAGAGACACAATCACTTCCGTGTTGCTGTTTTCTTGGAGTGAATGTCAGCGAACATGACGATTCAGGCTTGTAAAGACTATTTGTGCAAGTTACTTGCCTATGGAATATTATTTTCTCAACTGAACATAACAGGTATTAACTATAGCTTGACCTTTTAGCTTTAAATGTAATAGCGCTACTTGTCTGTGTATATAGATACGTAGTGGGTCGATCGATAGTATCTGGCTATGTAATTTAAGGCCAATACGCGTTTGAAGTCGATCGAATTGTAAAAATCATATCATCATTGTATCGCTTTGAACTTTGCCAGACGTGCATCAACAGTCGATCGACTCTGAAAACTTTCATGAGGTATGTTTTGTTCGTATTACTTTTTTCTTCCGCTCAATCAAAACCTATTATTGTGATAATATCCTCATGTATTATTGCTAATATCTCAATCTACTTTGGATGGAAAAATTAACATAACTGCACATTAATTGCTTTGAGTTGTCAAGCTTTGTAATGCATCATTGGTCAGAAGTCAATCGTATTGTTCACTGTATATTATAAAATAACTGACTTACTATGCGCGCACTGATTGGTCAAAAACCTATCGTTTATTGTACCGGTAAACACCATACGCAGTACCACGCGAGAACTAGAGAACTCAGAACACTAGTAAAACAGAAATTTGATATATATTTTCGGGTTTCACTGACCGAGATATCAATAACACGAATACCTTTAATTTCAACATGTCCATAGGAATTTGTAAAGGAAAACAGGACCAGAATTCGGGTGCGATATAAATGCTTGATCTATCTTAGTTTCCATGGCCAAAATTTCGCGACGATTCCGTTTACGCTTGAGTTTAGAGGAAATTTATGGCGCTAAAATAATTACATGGAAACACAAAATAATAAAGTCCTAAACGAGAGAAAGGGCCAAGAGATAATCTGTAAAAGAGTACATGACCCCTTACAAAAACAGACTGTCTTGTTGTCTAATATGTTGTCTAGTTCACTACTTTGGTTCCCATTCTAAGTCAAGACACTTTGTAGTGATTTAATTTGGCGGCTAATTTTGAGAAACCCAGTGGTAAACAAATGTCGACTTGGAAGTCTACTTTGACAAGATTAGGATTGTCAGGACAAGCTATTAGATATTTAGGGAGAACGTAAGATTGTTGAGAATATTTCGCTCTTGAAAATTCACGTGCAAGCACGGACTCTCATAATTTGGGCTAAGGCATCCACACGTGACAGCATTGTCCTCTAAGTGGAATGGTAGTAATAACTTCGTGTGGGATCCCAGAATAGGCCAATTATGTAGACCTCAGCATGAGGCTCTGGGAAACAAAACCCCACAAACTCTGCAGTTATTTCCGGGAGCCTCGTACTGTGGTCTGTTGTTTTAGGCTGAATTTTAGTATATCAAAATTGGTTTATTTGTTGATAGGATAGCCGCCCAAAAATCGTTTATCCTTCAGAGACTATGGATCTTGCACCAAGCTGCTAAGGAACAAAGAAAACCTCTTAGACGCGTTTTCCGCCATTTTAAATAGTAACAAGACGCATATCTGCGTAAACTTGGACGTCTTTCCTGGCATATCGACCTGTAAACGCCACGAAATCGACATGGTGAAGTCTTAGTTGTCTTTTGTCGATTGTTTCATAACTCTAGCATAGTGTTGTATATTGCCCACTGTCCGTTTTCTTAGGCCTGGTCTGTGGTCTGCGTTCTTTTAAGTAAAGCAATGAAGGTTTTGGCAGTAAAATGCTAACTTTCGACCTATATGATTGCATTTATGTCCATCTATGTGGCCAACAGGATTTTTAAAAAATAGATAAAGTATTGCTTATTGAAATGAACTTAGATACTAAAAGGTCATGTTTGTTCTATGGGTTAACACTTTTCAACTCAGCTTGTTTCAGATATTGTTTTGAATGATTGCATTCTTTTGGTTATAGTATGATCTGGGAGAGCTTTTTAGAGAAGAAGTAACTTTTCTTTTCTTTTGGAAAATGTGTAGTTTCTTAAATTATCCATATCTTCCACAAGGAAGGGATTTTTTCTAATCCCCCCACTCTAGAAATTCCAATTAAGCGTCATACATTTCCTTAAAGTTTTTGGCCTTTGAGACCACTGCCACCCTCAGGAATTTCCAATGCATTCTCTGGGGGAATATGGACACATTCTGGAACCACACAATGTTTTATGACTTTTTGGGGGTTAAAAGGGAAACTATAGCAAAGTTTGCAGGGATATCTTTTGTTAGCTTCATCCCCCC